TTATAACTTCTAGTGGTGCTGCCTTGATTTATTTGGAGGTTGGAAGCCTTTTCTGTAAATTGTGTGTATTGCATTGTGTTTGCTGCCAGTTGGGATACGAACTGTGATTTTAACAGGTTAAAAATTTGGGAAAAGTCAAATTTACAGGGGAGACTCTGCCGAAATTTCCGCAGAAAGTCTCGGTTCTTAGTAAGTGGGCCTGGCATCGGTGTGATGTCAGAAATTTCCACAGGATTATTCTCGAGTTCCGAGGAATTCGAGGCGGGTCTTGTCAGTTATGTGGTGAAGATGGAGCTCCAACATGTTTCAAAAATGCACATTTCTTTCCACCATTTACTCTTTTCCAGTTATTGAACCCATCAATAATTAGTGAAGACCCATTTGCTGGATTCTTTTCAAACACAAAGCATGGTAAACAATATGTTTTATCTGTTATAGGAGAACATTCTAACCATGAAAATTGTGAGAACCAAGAATATTGAAATCGACGTCTTTGTTGCCCGAACAAAGTCTTTGGATACTTAAAAAGTTTAGGTTGATAAGACCCTAATTTGATATAAGCCTTTCGAATCTCATCACACTAATTAATGGGGTGTTCACAAATTGGAATACATTTCCCTGGATCTCGTTCTAAAGAACTAGTGTCAAACTGAATTGAAGTATCAACATTAGATGCAGAAGGTGTATTCTCAGTATCAACATTAGATGCAGAAAGTGTATTCTTAGTATCAACATTAGATTCAAAAGGTGTATTCTCGTTATCATTACCACTTTTTCTAAAGAATGAATTAATAGTATTTCCTCTCTTCGCCGGTCTATTATCATCATGTAACATTATATCCTAACAAAAAAAATGATACACCAACTTAATGTTGAGAACCAAAAATACATATATAATCAATAAATATAAACAATAACAACTTAATTACTCCGTGAAATAGAACATTTATCAATTGAAATCTTGCATATATAATTATTGTTGTCTCTTTTCTTGTTGCTCTAAGAATCCCCAAAATTTAACGCTCAAACCTTAAAAATCTAACAATAATAATTCAAAGGGTTAATCGTTATTAGTCCTTGAACTTAATCCTGATTTGCATTTGAGTCCCTCAATTTCCAAAATCGTTCCTGTGGTCCTTTAACTTTAGTAGGACAAATGGTCCTACCGTCAATTTTGTTAACTTTTCTGTTAAATGCAAGGGCAAAATGGTATTTTTGTATTAAAGTGATTAAAATAT